TCCCGATAGTCTTAAAAAGGGAACACGACTACGTGAGGCCCCCGCAATACCGTCGTGTCGCCATCGTATTTTGGTATGATGCCATCGAGATAGGACCACGATGAGGCCGAAGAAAGCAATTTTAGTGGCTCAAGCGTTGCATGTTTATCATGGTGGACATATAAACGGCTAGACCATCTTCCTCATCTGTCACTCTTGCACATCTCTTACAGAGACATCAAAAGCTTCCATTATTTGCAATTAATTTACAATTATTTCAGTTATTTCCTGCAGAATTACATCTTTGATGATGCGTGCAGAGCATGCTACTTTTAAACACCTTGGAAAATGGAAAAACAAAATGAGGCCAACAGGCCCACTTTGAGTGTATGATAAAGTTTTATCAAATATGATAAATCCAAGATCAACAAAGAAGCAACGTTCAATGAAGGCAACCCCCACAACCAATTTAACACAAAAGACCCCCCCCCCCCCAGAAAAACTGATCAGGGCGCAAAGCTATATCTACGGAGGATAGGCTTATCACTTGAATATACATTAAGACGAAATAATGGTCAACGACAAGGAAATCAAAGAAAACAAATAAATGATTATTTATTACTTAAATAAAACTAGGGGGCAAAACGGGAAACTACTTACCGTAGACGAGAAAAAACAAGGGATGCCGACAAAGTGTCACCAAAACAGTATGAAATAACAAGAATGCATCTGAGAACAAAAGTAGGGCGCCGCCTTTTTTTTTGGACCACCGGTCAGCGCATAAGCGAGGTGCTGGGATGTTTTAAACTGGTTAATAGTGCACCAAAATCACTCTTAGTCCACCCATGTTCCTATAAATGAGACTGTTTTAAATAAAAATGAATCCCTGCATTTAGTAAAATGTGTTTATAACCAGTTGTTGGTTTCAAAAGGTAAAATAAGTTATAAAACACCGAGAGGGGTTATGTATAGTTACAATAAAGGGGAAAGTACCCATATACCTAAAAAATACTCAATAATTTAAAAAGGGAAGACGTTAAAAAAAAAATTCACCTACAAGGGGCCCGACGAATTTCAGGCAGAAGACGAAATTAAGGCAATTTCCAGTCCCAAAAGGCATTTAAGAATGTCCATATAGGGATTCCCCACTTGTCCGTCGAGGGAAAAGACCAAAAAACTTTTTAAAGTTGAACATAGCATGCGCACTTAAAAAAAGTAGAGTTCAAAACCTTTTTGGTTTAAACATTTAATAATTTTAGTTAAAAGGCAAACAATGACCAAAATCTGCGAAGTTTTAAATAAACTATCCGTGTATAATCATTTTTGAATCACACGAATTTTTGAGATTAAAATCAAATTAACGATTGTTAAAAATTTTGTTTTAAAAAATCTACCCGTTAATTTATAAATAGCTTCTAGTAATGAAAATATTTAGCTTGTTAAAATCCTTCACGTTGCCTAAAATCTTTACTTGAGAAAACAAATAACTTCTGTTCAAAGTTGCATCGGACGTCTCCATCTTTTTATATTTGGAAGTTTACATATACCATTATCAAAATTCTCACTTTATCATAGATTTTTGTGTGAATAGAATTTTTTTAGGAATTATGAAGAGCCCAAAAAAAAAGTTTAAACAATAGTTTAATTAGTCCCAAACAACGCAACTGGGAATTTTCCGCGGGTTGGCCCGTGGTTGTTACCACCTGGAGGTGAAGTCACTTGTGCCCTTCTAAACAACGACGAATATCGACTTTCAAAAATACGAGTCGGGTCCTTATCTTGACCCTCGCGGTCCTGTGGGTAAACTTACTTTGTTACAAATTTGCATCTTTGAGGTGACTTCGTGTGTGTATCGGATTGTGAATCGCGGTGACCTTCGTAGGAATCAGTGTGTGGCTCGGATGCGATCGTGTGACCATCTGTAGGAATCGTACTTGTTTCGGCTGTGAGAGACTGTCGACCAATTTCGGGGCTATCTTCGCACGAAATTAAAAATTTCATATTCGTATCCCATCTGGTGTCAATTTCGGACAGTGTGACGCCTGCTTTAGCATTTGATTATAATTATATCCAAAGACCAAATTATTTTTTCATAGCTGTTAAAGTGAACAATTAGTATCTGATAAATAATTGAACTGCAACTATATTTAAATGTTGGCAGCTGTTATTGTAGCATGTTTAAATATAAGTAAAAGCAACTTGTCTGTTTCATGGTCTTCTATAATAGTACTGGTCAGATTTTGGAAATTCATTGACATCAAAATACCAAATACCTTATATGACACAAATTACTCCCTACTACTCCCAGGAACTAAAAATATCAAAACTTTTTTGTTTTCTAACATTACCATCTTGGAACCAAAAGGTAAAACTTACCTGTAGCATCCAAAGATGGACCATCAATTTTGCTCTAATAGGTTTAGTTCAGCTTTTTAACTGTTCTGATATTCTATAGAGCACAAATTAAGTTATCAGAGTAAGCTTTTGTGATGGCATTGTGTGTCTGTTGTTATCCACAATTCTTAAAACAAACATCTCATTGGATATGAGTTATATATTTAATGTTAGATTTATTAAAAGTACTTGGCTACTGTCTAGATTGAAGTCTTGTTTAGCAGTTCCCTTAATTTTTTTTTTTACTATAAATAATGTGCGGAGAAAAAGATAATTGTAAAATTGGACTTGAAGTGTTTTTGAAGAGATATTAAAATAAGATAAATGTAAGTTTACAGAATAATTTCATGTCTACTGGAGAGATATTGATTTGAAATATTACCCATGTCCTCTGTCAATGACAGGAAAGTAGGTTAGACTTGTGTTTGTTTAGCAGAAAAAATTGCAAAAAAATGAAGATTTTGGCACTGTGAATGCTATACCACAGACAGATCCATTGTTTATTATGAGAACACAAGACAGTTTTGTTACCTACTTTCTTGGAATAACAATCAAGGCACACTTAAAAATTAACTGATATAATAGTCTTAGCTTTTCTCCTGCAGTGTTAGGTACAGAAAAACATTCAACAATGAATTAGAAGGATAGTAAAAATTCCCATTTCATAAACAACTTCACACAAAGATGATTTATTTATTATAATATATATTTATATATATCTGATGAGATTCCCAGTTTTCCTTGTAAATGTAATTCAAGAAGTAGGAAAAGTAAAACTATTTTATATGTTAATTAAGTGAAGCCATTTAACTTATTTATCATTTGCATAATGATGCTTGCTTTTATTTTTTCAGTTTTATACTAACTACTTGCACATTTTTATATATATTTATTCTTGAACTTATTACATACTAACTTTAACATACGTATAATACTTACTTAGATGTTTTTTTCCTTATCTTACAGTCTATGATAAAAATTGAAATAATCCCAATATCAGAAACTTCTTTTGGGATTTTATTATACTTTGCTATGGATTTATGTTTTATAAATTTTAGTTATTATACCATTACTAAAATTACTAGTAGCCTGAAATGAAATAACTTAAATGACTTAATAGAGTCATTGTTGTTTTTAGAATAATGAGAATTATAAATATGATTGCTTAATGTTGATTTATTAAAGCATTTCCGTTTAACATTTATGAAATAACAAAAAAGGGAAGTTACATGTATAAAGTTCTAAACAAATGTAAGATTTTTGCTTGAATATATGGAAAAGAAAATAAACCTTTGCCTGCGGTGTAAAAGAGCCAGGTCTAAGTCACGATATTAAAGCCCCTTAAGATAGAATGTCTCCAGCTTCATGCTTATTTTCATAAAAAATTTGAAAATGTTTTCAAAGTAAAATATTTTGAACTGAACAAAGGAAGTAATTTACACATTGAAAACAACACTTACAATCCATTTAAATTAACAGAATGAGGTCAAAATATGCAAAAAAGCTCTTACTGCATTCATCCACAGTAGAAATACTGCAAATTTGGCACATAACATGTGTATTATTACTTGAATCTTGATTTTCGTGACATATTTTGGCTCATCTAGAGGCAGGCAGCTTTAAACATTGAACAGACTGTTCCAAAATTAAAGCAGGGCAAAATCCATGATACAAGTTCAGCAGATTTAATATTTAACCTGTTCAAACTAAAGGTGGTAAGCTTTTGGCACCAATGTAGAGCCAATCAGTTGGAGTTGGAGACTTGTAATTTCTACATTGTGGGTTTGATTCACAGGCTGGCTAACAAAAATTACTAAGTCTTTCAGATGAGACTTTAAATTGAGGTCCCATGTATGAGTGGTTAAACACTTGGCACGTTAAAGGACCAGAAGAAGCTTCTAGAATTGGGGCATATTTCTGTATCTGTATCCAAAAATCTGAAATGAATAAAACTCTTCTGGAGGCCTCGCCCATATGGGCAACTCGTGGCAAGTGTAAAAAAAACTCAAATACACACATAAGTAGAGTCATGCTCGCCTGCATGTCTATGATTAACATGTCCATTAAGAATTAGCAAGTTTTGATTTAAAGAATGCATACTTTCCCTTTTCTTTATACACTGTATAATATTTTACCTATTTTTAATGTTCACCATTGAATTGTTTATTTCATTGCTTTTAAAGTTTTCTAGGATATTATCAAGAATGTTAAGTTTATAATTTTATCATCACAATTAGCAGCATGTTGTTTTATGATTTAATTGAATACATACAAGTGTTGTTAGTGTCCTTAATTATAACACATATAAATTATGTCAGCAGGTATACACATTTCAAAATTTCATGACATTGTATTGTTGCTGTATAGAATTCTGGCACTTTTCATATTTTTTCATAATTTGTAGAGATTATCTTCCATTATGGATACAGAAAGATCAAAGTGTCAACTGGTCATATGTTTCAGGTGTTTTCTGGAGCTTCATTTAACTTGCAAGTGTCTTGATGTACTGTAACCTGGGGCAGGAGCCTCACAATAAGCAAGTTCCTGGGGCAGGAGCCTCACAATAAGCAAGTTGGCATCATATCTGGTTTTACAGTATGCTATATTGTTATATTTTGTATTTTCAGGAAAGCAATGAGAGCTTATGAGGAAAGTTGGGACAGGAGACTAGGACTCATGTGTTGTTGTGTGGAAAGAAAAGGCAGAAATAAGGTACTTATACAAATGTGCCAAAATGACTCATCTGCCATTCCTAATGCAAGATAAAATTCTTAACATTTGTTAAACAAATAGAAACGCCAGTCTGATATCCCTTGCTGTCTGTCCCACTGCTTGTCAACTGACAAAACAATGGACTTTGGAGGCATCCATTTCCTTATATGGACTAATTCTTGAACCATGTTGACTCCCAACTGAATGGCAAGCTGTCCAAACCTTCTGTTTATCTTCTCGATTGTAGCTTGAATAAAGGTCAATTTTTGCCTTCAAGGGTTACTTTGAATATTGGTCAAGGCTGCAGATGAATAATCAGCAATCCAATTCCTGTCTGTATCTAGTCACAGGAGACAAATGAAGTAACTGGATATCTAATATTGGTGTCTTAATTGTTTAACTATAATTATGATGGGCTATCTAATCTATATGACCGGCGTCACGACAAAACCAAGGATATGCGTTTGCGACCAACATGGATCCAGACCAGCCTGTGCATCTGCGCAGTCTGATCAGGATCCATGCTTTTCGCTTACATACTTATAAAGTAAAAAG